GCCTTACTAGTAGTAACAAGAATCCTATCTGAGACATGGGTTGGAAACCGATGTAGTGACGTCAGGTTACCTTCGCGTGCAATTGACGTGAGCAGAGACAGCTGACCATTTCAAGCGTTCCACGCGCACCGCTAAGCTTGTCCAGGCCGAGTTACCCAAGACTACTCCCGTGGAGGCTGGAAGGGCGGGAAGGGATGTGAGGCCCAGACTTGATCATTCTGTCCAGGAGATCCCTGAAGTATCCCAGGAGAAGGTTGTTGTTCGCAAAAAGAAAGAATTCATATGAGAATTCATATAAACAACTCAGTGTGATCAAGATCCTTTGTTCATTCGCTCGAAGAGCACCATGGACAGCATTTTCAGACAAACCAATTCTCGATTTAAGGCAATTTGAAGAATTCGAAGAATGTCTATAAGGTGGTCTAAGAAGTCCCGATGTGAAGAACGAGCAATCCCAACAAGATCCACCGCTTGTTCTTTGGCTTGCCGAGGCAAGACTGGGTGCCGACTTTCGAAGGACCGACAGCGCCATAGTTAAAGTGATTAGATGTAAGTTGGATCCCGGTTGTCCTCGAGTCTTTAAGGCGATGAGGAACAGTTTGCATGATTATGCATGATTCATCATTTTCTGCTCCTTGGCAGGATACTTTCTAGCCTGCCTCCCGATGTGCGACGGCGTGTTCACCTGAGCAATTAGAGCAATTTTCACACGGAGAATGCTGAATTGGAATGTTTTCCTTCCGGAGGTGGAGATTTCTTTGTCTCGTGAGGCATTGGCTTTTTCGTCTCTTCACTGCTAGCCCCTCAGTTTTGGTGTTGGTGCGCTCTGAGTTCGCGATGGCGCAGATGCGAAATTTCGATATGGCCAGTCTGACAGGTGAGACAGATGCACAGCGCCTTGATCATTCAGTGCTCAGAAAGAAAAAACAGAACACGAGTTGCAACTGCCCACACGACTTGAATAGCGAGGATTGAGAATACAACGATGGCGGAAGATGATCAGCGACTAGACCTGATGTAGCGTAATCGGTTCTGATACAAGGGAGAGAGAAACCAGGCCTTGTCGTCCCAGGGTGTAACACACCGTGTAACACGGTGTAACCTCTGACCATCTTTGACTACGCTTCCAGCTATGCAGCTGCTTTTGCGTTGCTGGCTTCTTCTCTTAGCCAGGCAGGGCACGGAGTGGGTCCCAACCGCGGGGCTTAAAACCGGATGGCTGTCATTTTTTGTTTCTCGCATTCAGAATAAGAAGCTACTAGGGGCTCCTGGCATCGCCACTAGGAGCAAGGACGCTACTAGGGGCTCCTGGCCGTACTTCTAGGAGCATTCTTGCTACTATATAGTAACAAGAAGCTACTAGGCTCCTGGCATCGCTACTAGGAGCTCTACTACAGGTCCCAACCAGTGAGCTCTACTTGATAGTGGCGGGGATCAACGAATTAGTGCAGGGCACGTTGACATGATACACATTACGCACATGTTTTTGCTGAGCTGGACGTCAGATCGAAGAGGAAGGATATGGATATGAAGTAACTTATTCTGACGATGCCACGCCTTTGCTTGCGCCAAATTTTGGCAAGGGCTACTGATGACGAGTGTGCAGAGGACATCTAGTGACTGAAAGTTGCTGCAATTGAAATTTCGCAGCTGAAGCATAAGATGGATTCTAGGGTGCCCTCGTCCAAGTAACATATCAGGTGCCCATTGGTAACTTGCTTAGACAGCCTAATTAACAAAAGTACCTAGTAGCGATGGCCTCCAACCTACCGGTAAACACCAAGCCAAGCAAAGCCAAGTGCTTGGAAGTGCTTGGAGCAGGAGAGCTGTGCGATGTCCGCTCTACAAAGGAGGGCAGCGCAGATTCTCAGATGCAACCACATCACAGTCACAAGATGATTTCCTGCGCATACGTGTGGAGTTTGTAATGCTGAAGGAATCTGATTGAAGTCCAGCTGTCCACCTGTTGAAGCACCAATGTATCTCTTGCACAACGGAAACCCCTTGTTGCATGTTCGGAAAGAACTTCGTGAGGCTTTCATTTGATGCCTCCGATGCCTTGGAAGAGGCCAGGGAGGGAGGTGAATCGCAAAATCTGAAGGCTTGAGCCACACTGGCATCCAGATGGAGATGACTCTGAAAGCCCCCCATCTTGAATTGTTTGTTGTAGATGGAGCCTTTCATGTCACTCCTGGAGCTTGAAAGTTATAGCATTCATTGCCATATGGGTTTGGCGTTGACGGATTGAGAGGGCTACTGTGGCTTTGTCGGATTGAAGCATGGAACATGTCCTGCGAAGTTCAGGCCTTCGCGGTGGCCACTTTGAGCACTGGGCCTCCAAGCTTTGCTCTCTGTGGCGGGAAGAGCTACGACAAGTCTCAAGAGAACTGCTGCGGAGGCCGTTGGATGGTCCGATTTCCACAGGGGTTGGATGTCTATTTCTTCAAAGAGTCTTCATCGAGGATTTATGATGTTTGCTTGATTGTTCGGCTTGGCTGGGACAACTCTGACCGCGATGGAGACAAATCTGACCAAGTCTACTCTCTCTCTCTCTCTGCAAGATTTGCGAAATCAATATTATGTTGCCATGCTGTACCGTAAATGTGTGCGGTGGCAAATTCAACAGCAAAGAAGGTGAGGGACATTCCAACTGTGCATGGTTTTTGAATGTGTTTGGCATGTTTGAGCTTGAGCCTTGGAATGAAAAGCCTTTTACTTCTTTGGTGTTTGTAACTCCCATTGTGCCAAAGAGCCTCTTCTCCGAGACCGGAGGTGAGATCTACTCCTTGACCTCGCAGGGCTGCTGTGGGAACAGCTCCGTCTACACCTTTGCCAAGCAAGGCAGGCACATTTTTGTGGGATCTCGAAATGGCCCGTCTCCCGAAGCTGAGGAACTGAGCAAGTAAACCTACTAGCGCCCTTGTTACTACTGGTAAGGCACTTGTTACTAGAAGCGATGCATTTGTTTCTAATAGCTTCTTGTTACTAGTCAAGAACCATCATTCAGTGCAAGATCCCTTCTCCTGGAGTCCTTTGATCCCATGAAATCCGACCTTGCGGCACTGCAAATGAGGCTGCTGCAATGACGAGCAAGTCTTCACCTATGGTGTTGAGTGTCTCGGTGTGCTGAAGGGCTGAAGGATGGTCTCCACCCTTTCACAAGCCACAAGCAATGTAATTCACAACACGACAACACACACAACAAACTATACTCAAGTTCCACTAGGGCAAGGAACTTATGTGTAGATTGCACAAATTGCAGTATGATGAGGTTCAAAGATCTTGAGTGTCATGTTTTTTTGGAAGCAACCATCTAATTTTAGAATCTACGCTCTGCGGCCGACTGTGAGGAACTGTGTTCCACACAAGCTGAAGCCGGACTGGGTGAACCCCAATGTGACCTTCGAGTGTGCAGAAGACTGGCCTCCTGCCAACTACGGTGCGCTTGTTTCTGCAATCAGCAATCATTCACCAGACACCATGTCTCATTAAAGCCAATTCAGACACCTTTCTTCCACGAGACGTGAAATCTGAAGAACGAGAAGGCTTTGCATCACAGACAGCATGTGCCCGGAAAAAAAACGAAGGTAGAGGTCACCAAAATCACCAGAAAGCTGCATGCACCACCCTTTTGAAGTTTTCGCTGTCAGGCAACTACTGGCTCCGTTACTGTGCAGCAGGCATGACCCAGATCATGCTTGCATCAATATGGTGGAAGACAAGCCAAACAATGCCAGGAATTTCTGAGATGCTTCCAACCACAAATGGGTCCTGTCGTCCTGTACATCTAGATTCATCTAGGTATGGTTCCCATTCCCACTTAGCCATCCTAGTGCAGTCTGTGTATGTTTGGACATCGAAATCCACTTGTTTGTCTTTGAGAGCATTGACTTTCCCATGTTGAGCCAGGTCAACACATGGCATGGGCTATGACGCCCTCCTGCAAGGTAGGCTGGCTCTCTGTGAAGCAGCGCCTTGTCCACAAGGGCGACGGGACTCGACTGGAGACCTTCAACTAGTCCGAATGTTCTTCTGGCAGTCTGCTCAGTCTGCCAGCAGTCTCCTTGAAGCGCTTTTATTCTTCTTTAGTGCCTGCCTATCACCCTAAAATACATTTGGTGAAGTGCTGAGGGACAACTTGGAAGATGCTGAGAAACAGGCATTGGATGCTTGCCAAGCAAAGGTGCGCCAGCCGAATGTTCTTTTCATCCTTTCCGCTGGGTCCTTCGTAACCGCTGCGAGGCTACCGCCTACAACGGTGAGACCTGCTATGTCTTTGACCGCGATGGCGGTGGCTGCCGCCGCCAGCGCTGCGGTACAGAGATGTACGATGCTTCAGTGTGTCTCGGCTCGGCGCTCTGAAAGTTGAACTTTGGCGGTTTGTCTGCCTGGACATCGAAACGTCAATGCCACAATTCTTCAAAGTACTTGGTGCTGATGAGGAAAGCTTGCTGCAAGGGCAAGGTTTACGATCGGTTGACTCAGGCAAGAATGTGAGTTGTTGTCGCTGAGGCTGAGTTGCCTGCAATGTTGTATTTCTGCTAAGGCTGAAATTATGTATTTGAAGAACTATGAACAATTGCAAAGCACAAGAAAGTAGAGGCGATGTGATTTGTGATCTGCTTTTGGCGAACATGATGCCGCCACAGCACGCAGGTGCTTTCACCCGCCAAAACAGATTTGCATAATTTTGCATCCACACTCCTGTTATGCACGTGGCTCAAGCTGCTTGTTTGGAAAGGAGTAGCATTGTGCATCTAGATCAACGACCCAAACATGATACAGAGTGCTCCTACAAGAATGGTTGGCCCACAGCTTCACAAGGCTCCAAGGTACTACAAGATTATCAAGATTCAGATCTTTAAGAAACCACTCTGGACAGGAGAACACTGCCATATCCGGGGGGGGCTGAAACTCGAACACCCTGAGACACAGATATACACATCCATCGCAGGACCTTTTTGGGATATCATCTCGTGCGTCTCATCATGAAGCGCTTCATGCCAAGCCTGAAACCGGCACGGCTGCTCACCAGGTCGGCTCGTGACTATCATGTCGCTGTGGTGGGCAGTGGCCCAGCGGGCTTTTACACCTCCAAATATCTCTTCAAAAAGGCAGGGCCGGCGGCTGAGTTTCCCTCTGCAAATTTCATGCACCTCAATGGCAGAAAAGAATGCGGTCTTGGAACAAAGCTGCTGGGCTCCACTAGAAAAATCAGCGTTTGGAATCTCAGGGGACTAACCTGGGTCCAGGGTGGTTGATTGATGGAATCCAGCAACCTATCAACTAATTGACCAACTCAGTCCTTCCCAGGTCAGGGCCACGTGTTTCTTCCCTCAACTCTATTTTCGCAGAGCCACCGGATACTGTTAGTTTCAAGAAACACATCCTGACTTGGACCAGAGCCTTGAATCAAAACTATGCAATGGCAACTACCAAGCATTTTTGTAAAGAAACACAGCGCTGGACTCTGGTGGTTGATGTTTGCAAGCGAAGCAAGAAGATAGGCAGGCGACACTCTGAAGATCGACATGTTCGAACGCTTGCCGACGCCTTTTGGCCTGGTACGTTTCGGTGTGGCGCCGGACCATCCGGAAGTGAAGAACGTGATCAACGACTTCGGAGTCATCGCACGGATCCTTTGAAAGTCGGCTCTCAACAATGGTTTGCTCATGGGCTGTCTTTTGTGCAAGCAAGTATTACTATGTTCCACGGTGCATGTCCATTTATAATCATTTGTGTAATTTGCTTTTTGAAGAGCCGTTGTATTTGTGCTTGTGTGAATTGAATGGTCCGTTGTTTGCTTTTGAACGATGATCACTGGTGTGACCTTTCGAGGATGCCGAGCTTCCGGTATTTCGGAAACATTGAAGTTGGCAGCCAGCCATCACTGGAAGATCTTCGGAAGCTCTACGATGCGGTGGTCTTGTGCACTGGTGCCAGTGGAGAGCGGCTACTGGGAATTGCGGGGGAAGAGTCCTTCGGTGTGGTCGGAGCACCGGCATTTGTAACTCACTATGAAGTGGTACATTCTTCTTTAGAACAGATCAGTGTTTACTCATTTGACTTGCTCCTTTTGAATTCGCGAGCGCGCGAGAAGTACTTGTTTGATGTTTTTTGATAACAAAATGCGTGACAATGCAAGTTAGGTCAAGTGAAATTCCACTGTGTTTCAGCAGCTTCAGTCACCTGAGGTGAAGTGGTACAATGGACATCCAGACTACCAGGATTTAAAGCTCCCAAGCACTGTGCATGGTGAATCTGCTGTCGTCCTGGGTCAAGGAAATGTAGCATTGGATGTGGCTCGTTTGCTCGTACGACCACCCAGAGACCTGGATGCCACAGACATGGAACGAGCGGCCGTACCTTGGGTTTTCCTGCAAGCCGCGGTCAAAACCTCTGGTTCTTCAGGCAATCAGGTTGGGATCTCCATGCCAAGAATACCGTGCTGGGGGGACATGTTCATTGAACCAGAGACACAAGAGGTTTTGGCAGTGGCTCAAGCAGTCGTTCTTTGTGGATCACTTACCGTTTACCAAGTTTACCCAGCTCCTGCATGTTTTTGCCACCGTAGCAGGTGCACCGAAATCAAGAACCACCCAAAGATCCAAGAATAAGCTCTTCACCATTCTCGAAATACTCTTTAGATTGCTGCAGGTTTAGGGTATTACACCAATCCGATCGCCTCAGGTTAACACGATCGCCTCCTGGCAGAAGTCGGGACTCCGGACCGTTCACATCGTCGGCCGACGTGGATTCGTCCAAGCGGCCTTTACCAACGCCGAGCTCAGGGAGTTGCTCACGTGTTCCGACGAGGCCATCGGAGATAGTTTTAAGAGTGGAAGGATGCATATGGAGTCCAGCCAAAAGTCTATAAAAGTAGATATAGGATGATATAGGGGTCGAAATTAGATTATGTAGCGAGCCCCCAGCTAAACACACATTTCGACCAGATCCCATATAGTGAATAACAAATGATTAAGAATTAACCTACTAGTGATGGCCTCCAACCTAAGAGCGATGGCCTCCTACCTAGAAGTTTAATAAGCTTAATAAGCCAAATGCTTCATGTACAATGATGCATTATGATTCATGATGCATAATGCTGTCAAATTAGTTGCGCTTCTCAATCTTTGAGCGGTGCCAAAAGGCTGGACAAGATGAGGTTCAAGCCTTTCCAAGGGTTCCGATCATCTAGATTTGCACGAGGCTCCAAATCGCTGGTTCTTCCCATGAACCGAAGTGACTCACCCTAAAGAGACGTCAAGCAGACTTACTTGCTGTTCAGTAATGGACGTTTGGCACGTCGGCTCCACTTGTTTGCTCCCTCAGCAGCAAGGTCTTGCCTGTGGTGGATCCTGAGGAGCTGGCCCTGTGCCGCAACGAAGCCTCCGAAGAAGAGCTGTCCAAAAGTCGCATGAAGAAGCGATCTGTCGACATCCTCGATAAGACGCTCAGATCAATCGAACAGTGCAATATTTCTTCCACCCCTTTCTTCCCACAGTATGGTGCAATGGATATGTGACATATTAGCCACTAGAACTAACTGAAATAGTACTATACTGTGTATAAAAATATTCACAAGTGAAAGGAGAGTAGTCTTGTCTTGTGAGTGCTTTGTCAACACTTTAGGCTTGTCGGCCGCAGATCTGGCATTTCAAGATGTATTTGGCACCAAGGATGGCGGCGAACTTCGCGGAGATGGGAAGCACCAGCAAGCGCATCCTTCGGGTCCACTTCTTGAGATCCCCACAGGAGGCAAGTTAAGGGTTTGAAATTGAATCAGTGACGAGTGGTCGTGGTTAGTAACTTTAACCACATCTCAACCAGAGCCGTACTTAATGTATTATTTCTTACAAGTGCCTTACTAGTAGTAACAAGAAGCTATTAGAAACAAGTGCATCGCTAGTAGTAACAAGTGCCTTACTAGTAGTAACAATGTTTGCTATTAGTTAATTTGATTTAATTTTAATTTTAAGTTAATCTATTAGTAAAATGTACTTCATGTATTTCTTACATCTCTATATCACACGCCAATGGGATTTCTGTGTGTGTTGATTCGATCCATTCATATTACGCCTTGGGCCCACCGGCGAGGTCTTGTCCGAAGATGGTGGCGTCCGCGGGATTCGTCTGGGTCGGATGAAGCTTCAAGGGGAGCCAGGGCGACAAGTGGCCGCTCCAACAGAAGAAGCTGCACTTGAGATTTCTTGCGGCCTCGTGGTGCGAAGTGTGGGCTTCGATATCACACCTTTTAATGGAGTCCTGGAGTTCTTCAAACGGTTTTTATTTCAGCGTCCGATCGCTCCTAGTAGTAAGGCCAGGAGCCCCGAGTAGCGTCCTTGCTCCTAATGTGTTTCTTTTTCACAGGATTTGTTCATTGGGTTGTGCACTACTTGGCCTTGCCACTACCAAGCAGAGAATGCACGTTCTCCATGTCCACCAACGCAATCCCCACCAAGCTTGCACCAAGTGCCTGTAGCGCGATCCGAGGCTTGCCTTTGAAGTCGAACCGAGTCCCCCACACACAGGGCTGTGTCGAGACATCTTCCGACGGCCTTGGTGGGCTTTATGTCTCGGGTTGGCTAAAAAGAGGGCCACAAGGGATCATCGCGTCGAACATCGGGGATGCACAGGAGACTGAAATCGACCTTTGCAACAGCAAAACGCATTGACGATCTGCCTTCGTTCCAAACGCTCGTTGAAGGCTTGAGTAATATTATGTAGAAAATCATGTTTTTACTATTTTGTGATACCATTTCTCGAGCGTTCTTTCTGTCGGGGTCCGTTCACGAAGGAGACGGCAGCACGACTCTGGAACGACCTGCAACATCAAAGCGCAAAGCCTCCTCGGCTCAAGATGCGTCGAGACGCAAACGCAAATAACGAAATTATCGAAAATGCCGTATTTCTGCCATGTTTGAACTCAAGATGCTGATTTTGCAGCACACCTTTATGTTTAGTATGCTTAGTGGGCAAGCACCTAGCTGGTGCCGGACAAGAGTCCAAGAAGGGTCGCAAACCACGACCATGGGCATCCCAAGGGTTCATCGCTCCGTTCTATAGTGCGGAATGTTGATAGAAGGACCTAATAGATAACAGAAGCATACAGAAGCCTCCTTTAATTCTAATTAAATTCTAATTACTAATAGCTTCTTGTTACTACTAGTAAGGCACTTGTTACAGAAGCCTGTTACCGTTTGACATATTGGACCTACAGTTGCCATCCACATGCTTTGAATCTAAGGTCGTCTCCTGACAGCTTCGTGTCTTCTTTGCCGCGTCCTGTCAGCTTCGAAGATTGGAAGAAGCTGGAAGCCGAAGAACATCGTTCCGGTCACGAGATGGGGAAAGCTGCGGCGAAGTTCACTCGTGTGCCGGAGATGCTGCAGTTTCTAGGGAAGTAGGTGACTTCCAGACCCGTTGCTGAAAAGGCAAAGAGTGCCCACAGAAGTTCGGCCGCTGGCACGTGTCTTGCTTGTGGCTTGTACAAGTACTTGCCGAAAAATGAGTGGTTTTGATCATGAAACCTTCACCTGACTCAAACCTCCAATGAGTCACATACCTCATCCGGGAAACCTTGAAGAGTTCTTAGAAGCTTGTGGTTGGGTGACACCCAACTCAGGTTCGTGCAATTAGATATGGTTATATATGGTTAAACTACTGCAAGGGGCGAGGATATCGAGCATCGCAGTTGTACTGGCATAGAGAGAGAGAGGTTCAGACTCCACCAACTGTCTCTTGTTCTCCCGCGTTTTCAGGGCTGCTGCGAAGGAGTGATCTTCAAAGCGCAGACAGAGGGCTGCTGCCAGGGTCGCATCTACACCAGAGACGCTCAGAGATATCCGCATTTGGGATGAAGGTTTGCATAGAACGAACAAGTTCATGGACCACTCATTTATCTCAAGATCTAATTATGTGTTGTTCAACTCGAACGCTTTAGCAATCCCACCAATGTGGCAATGTGTTAAGTGGATGCTACCCAACCGTCAAATTCATAGCGAAGCAAGAAAGGGTGTCGATGCGACTTGAGGCTGCACAGAGCTGCTGTGGTGGACGAAGCCTCTACGACAGCGAAACTCATGGCTGCTGCCTGGAGAATGGGGCACAGGCGGAGCAAAGGATGCTACTAGTAACAAAGGGCATCGCTACTAGGAGCCAGGATGCTACTAGTGGCTCCTGGCCTTAATACTAGGAACAAGAAGCTACTAGGGGCTCCTGGCCTTACTACCAGAAACAAGAAGCTACTAGGGGCTCCTGGCATCGCTACTAGGAGCAAGGACGCTACTAGTGGATCCTGGCCTTACTACTAGGAACAAGAAGCTACTAGGGGCTCCTGGCA